CTGTGAGCTCTAGAAGGAATAGCTGGAGCCAATATCCCCTAATTCAGGGCCCCAGGAATGGGGTAGCCCCAGGGACAGGGTGGCTGTGGAAAAGTAGAGGCTCAGGGACTCTGATGGGGAGAGAAGAAATGGGAAGGGGCCAAGGCTTTGGGGCTTTTTTACCTTTCCCACCATGGGAGAGGGGAAATAAAAGGAGAAAAGGGCTTGCTTCCTCATTGACTACTTTCTGGCCTGCCACCAGATTTCAGAGAAGAGCACAGCTCTATGGATCAACGTTTTCCTTGGTGTGTCCACCCTGTTAGCTCTGTGGACCCTGGGCATCCTTTTTCGTCAAGCCAAGCTGCACCTGGGCGAGCAGAACATAGGAGCCAAATTTGTTCTGTTCCAGGTAACTATACCCTGGGAGAGAAAAGATGGTTAATAATGAGCCACAAATAATAGGGGTTAGGAGCTGAGACTAATAAGGGATAAAAGTGGGTCCGGGAATCTTCTTAAGCCTTAGGTTTCCGATGAGATTTGGAAAAGAATCCCTGCCCTTTCCCAGTTTTTGCTTTCCTGTGCTTTAATAGTTTCCAAGCGTTGCTGTAGCAAAATATCACAAACTGGGTGTGATATAAAGCAACAGAAATGTGTTGTCTCACAGTTCTGGAGGCCAGATGTCAGCGGCCCGTGTTCCCTCTGAAAACTGTGGGGGAGAACCCGTCCTTGACTATTCCTGGCTTCCGATGGTTTGCAGCAATCCTTGGCATCCCTGGCATGTCACATGGCGTTCTCCCCTCATATGTCTGTGTCTTGTGTCTCTTTTCTTATAAGGACATCAGTCATATTGGAATAAGGAAGGACCCACCCTACTCCAGTATGACCGCATCTTAACTAATTATGTCTAATTAGTTACCAAAACAATGATGCTTTTTCCAAATAAGGTCACATTCTGAGCTACTAAGGGTTAGGACTTCAATGTATCTTTTTGCGGGACACAATGCAACCCATAACACATGTATTATCAAACCTTAATTTCTTTTACCTTTGCTTTTTTCTTTTCTTTACTACCCATTACTTCTAAAAACCTGCAATTCATCACCACCAGAAACATCAGCATTATCACAGCTACAACTATGAAGTGTCTATACCACATACTAGGCACTTTTCATACATTAATTACATTTAAATTCACTATAATCCTCAGAGTCATTATTATTTCTGTTTTACAAATGAGGAAACTGAGATGTTATGGGGCTTGTTCAAAGGCTCATAAGGGATGGGACTGGAATTTAAACCTAGATCTGTCTACTCCCAGACCCACATCTCTTCTTATCACACTGCCTCTTCATCTTCACATCTTTTCTGACAATTCTCTAAAACTCACGTTTGTTTACTTTTTACACTTTCCATTCTCTAAGCCCAGAGATAACCTTTCCACCAAATGCAGTGACTTCTAGCCCAGTATTGTTTCCCTTCTCACTTCATTCTTTCTGTCTCCTTGCTGGGCCCTTCTCCTATTCCCAAGGCACAATGACTCCTTTACAGTCAACAGAGTGATTCCACATAAATTCTCATTTGATCTAAGCAGGTGCCGCTTACAGGCACATAGTAGGTAGAATTGGAGGGTCCAGAGGAAGACAGAGGACAGAAGAGCCTAAAATGGAGTAAGGGACTGAAGGGGCACAGAAAGGATCTGGGCCCCAGAAGCACTCAGGGTCAGGCTAGCAGGTAAAAGCCCTGTGATTGCCGAGCCTGCCCATGATTATTGTGGGGAAGCCTAGAAAAGCCAAGTCTGCCCTGAAGAGGCTGTGCTTCAGAAAAGTGTACTCAGAGAGGGCAAGTACAAGACACATCTCAAACACAGCAGTGGGCCAGCCGGCCTCAGTGCCGGGGATGCTGAGCCCCTACCCTCACTTCTCTTTTCTCTTCTTCAGGTTCTCCTTATTCTGACTGCCCTGCAGCCATCCATCTTCTCAGTCTTGGCCAACGGTGGGCAGATTGCTTGTTCGCCTCCCTTTTCTTCTAAAATCAGGTCTCAAGGTGAGCACGTAGGAGCTCCTATTCTATTCCAGGATGGGCAAGAGGGGGAGGTCAGGGAGGAGAGGAACTTAGAACTGAAGTTGGGCCAGCCAATCTCAGAATACTCAGAATGTTCTGCTCAGAATACTGAGAAAGGAACCTGCAAGAAATCTAGCAGAAGCTCTAAGCAGACTATGACCTCTCTGATCACACAGAGGAGAGCTGCAATCCCACAGCTTGAGGCCAGCCCTGATGGCCAACCCAGGAAGCCATGGGTTCAACCCTCAGCTCCAGGAAGAGCAATGGGTGTGGTTAGGAAGCAGAAGTCATGCTGATGAAACATGCAAAAGAAATGTTTAGTGCTAGCCTCAAATTGCAGGAGGTAGAGGCCAAGTTCTGGTTCTGGCTCTACTATTAACCTGCTATGTTACTTGTGACAACTTAATATCTCTAGGTCCTGGTTTGAGGACAAATTGGAGAAAGTGTTGTTCAACTCATATGCCAAGGCTGCTAGTGGTATACCACCTCTATAAGTTAGTATAACCTACATTATATTTTGCCCCATGCTGCAGTGATGAACTGCCACCTCCTCATCCTGGAGACTTTTCTGATAACCGTGCTCACACGAATATACTACCGAAGGAAAGACGACAAGGTTGGATATGAACCTTTCTCTTCTCCAAACCTGGATTTGAACCTCAAAGCTGGAGGTGGATTGCTTGGACAATGAAAGAGACACTGCACTCATTAGATGGGCACAAGATTTCTTTACTGTTCCTCAGCTTTGACCAAATGGGGATGGATTCCATTGTCAGAGCAAGCTGGCTAATGGTATACACTTGACTGTAGAGACGAATGTGAACTATGCAATAGGATGAAATTGTTTTGGATCTTGCCTGAGGAAGGTATTTTAAGTTTTATAATAAACAGGATGGAGTTTGATGTTCTACAACTGGGCACACTGCCTCTGTGTGTGCCACTATTAGCCCACAAAGCTTGTATATTAAAAGGTTACTCTGAGGTTTCCCAAAGCAAATGAAAGGGGGAAGAGTATGTGATAGTTTTACTGGTATAATAACAGGAATAGAACTCAGCCAGGCAAAACAGTATGAGCCCAAACTCTCGAAGAAACCAGGCTTCTGAAGAACAGATGAAAGGTGTTCTTTCCCTTACAGATGTGTCAGTAGGGCACTGATGACATTAGACCTGGGAGATCTGGATCAGCCTCCCTTTGTGGGACAATGGTTTTTTTAGTCTTCTGTACCAAGCAGCAAAAGGAATCCCGATAATATGGTCATGGAGTTGTTATGGAGAGACAAATTAAGATGCAAAAGCAAAGGAAATGATCATATAGGTAAAACCCCCAAATTAGGATGCAAAAGCAAAGGAATCGATAGTACAGGTAAAAGCCCCAAATACATAAAACATATCATACACATGTATACAAGGTCAAAAACACAGAAAATGAAACATTACATAAAATCACTTTTCCTTTATTTGGCTAATGACAAAAGCCAAAATAACTGAACAATTTAATAACACTCAGACAGGAAAACAATATACTGAACGCCAATTGAGGAAAACGTCCTTGTGGACACCGGCACTGGTGATGGGGCCAACATTCATGCCAAGGCCAGAATTTTTTTCCAAGACTCTTTCTGTTCAGGATCCTCAATATAAAACAACTCAACCAATCAAGTCTCTGTGTTCAAAGCAGTCAGTGCCTCCCTAAGAAGGGTGGGAAAGCCCACTTGGAAGCTAAAAAAACCACAACTGGAGTCATCCTAATGTTAAACCAAGTACTTTTGTTCTCTCCCCCAATCTGAATACTAACATTAAACTTTGGCAGAGTATCTTTCTCCTTTGTTTTAAAGAAAATTAACATTTAATAGTATAATCCCAAGAACATGTTCTACTTACTTGGAAAAATAATAGCTAGGGACCATTCTTTATCCCATGACAATCTATTCTGTGAGAGAAAACAAGAACAATCATTGCATGACCTTGAAAAATATAACTTTAAAAACACTTATATTGGTAAGGTTAAAAAAAATACCATTAGTTAAAAACATTGTTAAGGGAGCTCTTTTCCTACCTGTACTGATTCAACTTCTGGTGATAGTTTGTGCTGACAGAAAATGTAAAAGCTATGGCTTTCAGGAAATTAAACAAAAGCAGTGAAATATACTTGATTTGGAAAGATTTTAGATATAGGGTCTGGAACAGCATTAAAAAGGCAATGAGCTCCAGAAAAACAAAAGCTACCCATACATCAAGAAACAGAATAAAAATCACTGTGAAGAACCATTGTGGAGGGAATATTCAAAGACTGCCTGGACAGCTGTGTGGTCAAAAGTAAGAAAAATGTAACTCAGGTGCTGCCTAGGAAGTTATCAGTGATCAGAAAAGGTCAAAAGCTCTCTTGACCTCCCTCAAATTTTTTCTCTCATTCAAGGTTTTCAACCTCCTTGCATCCCCAACCTTCTTACCCAAGCCTCAGCAAGATAATGGTCTTTGGCTCTAGCTATCAGAAGCAGCTGCAGCAGTACAAATGATCCATTTTTATTCCTCTACAATTTCAACCTCTATCCTTCAGTGCTACTGAGTGTAGTGTATGAAAAAAGCAAACTTTTTGCCAGCTCATCTCAAGGTAACTGCTGAAATGGCACCTCCTCAGCACTGGCTACAGGGCTTCTGTCTCCATTCTCCCTCTATCTTACAGCGAGAGGCTCTGAGGCCAACCAACTTTTTTTTTTGGCTGCGTTGGGTCTTTGCTGCTGTGCGTGGGCTTTCAATAGTTGCGGCGAGCAGGGGCTACTCTTCGTTGTGGTGCGTGGGTTTCTCATTGAGGTGGCTTCTCTTGTTGCAGAGCACAGGCTCTAGGCGTGCGGGCTTCAGTAGCTGTGGCACGTGGGCTCAGTAGTTGCGGCACGCGGGCCCTAGAGCACGCGGGTTTCAGTAGTTGTGGCGCGTGGGCTCAGTAGTTGTGGTTCGCAGGCTCTAGAGCACAGGCTCAGTAGCTGTGGTGCATGGGCTTAGTTGCTCTGCAGCATGTGTGATCTTCCTGGACCAGGGTTCGAACCTGTGTCCCCTGCATTGGCAGGTGGATTCTTAACCACTGGAAGCCAAGCAACTTTTAAGGCCCATTTCTGCCACATTTGATCTATTCAGGCTGACAGCTTTGTGTGTGGGATTCAGGGAAACAGCTAATTAAAATTAACGTTAGAAGTTAATATTAACAATAATAAAGATTTACAGATCACATGCATGGTTGTGGAATGCGAACCTCTAACTTCATTTAATTAGGCACAGATGATCAAACAATGCATCATCCCTATAGCTTCTTCCACCCACCCACCCTTGTCCGGCATGTAGGATCACATTTATCCCAAAGTATCTAGCATGCCACGCCATAAAATTCTTTGCTTTCAGTCAAAATTATTTGAAGATATACTAGTGTTAGGAGACTGAGGCCACAGAGGTTCACCAAAAGGGGTGAGAGTTTTCCAAGAACACGTGCACATGCTGGTGCTAGCAGTCTCATGGAGCTTGTCAGCCTAGAGGTCATATTCCAAGGACAGGATATGCCAAAAGCAGCCCATTTACAGAGCGGAGGAGGAGGACCAAAAACTTGGGATCCAGACAATACACGTGAGAAGAGTGACTGCAGGGAGGAAAATTACACTCTGGGCACCTCATTTTCCAAATACACTTGGATAACATGTGTACTTTGAGAGAACACGTAAGTGGGCTTCAGTGGTGATTTCACTGCTTTTCTATTGACAGAAATGGGCAGAATTTCCAAAGAGGCAAGACTGAAGCAGCAAGTTAAAATATGTGATCATATCAGCTTGATCATATCAAGCTGAGTAATATAGGAAGACATTAACTTCAACTGTTCCAAAAAAAGGATTCCAAGCCAAAGCTTGTGTAAACCAGATTTGATAGTAAAAATAGCACTTCATGAAAAGAGTTAGAAATGTAATTTTCATAGGCCATCAGGACAAGAGGTTTCCCCCTCTTTGTCCCTCTACTCTGCTGTGCTCTGCCTCTCTGGATGATCTGAGGACCTAGGTAGTCCTGCTGTGCAGGCAGGCAGTGATTCTAGCCACCGACCCTCAGGCAGAAGAGCAAGTTTTAACAGAAGGTGTTTAGGGAGGGGACTATGAGATGCTCACAGCCCTAGCAGAGGGGCAAGGAAAGATAAGATGTGGTTTTCTTAGCTGAAAACACTAAAACTCCACCCCCACAAGGGGTATTTATGAGTGATGGGATGGTGCCTGGACATAAGCAATTTTTCACCCTGAACCCAGCTACAGGATTATGATAGATGATGATCTGCTAGGTCATGTACTGTAGGATGCTAGGTTTAAAAAGAGCTTATGCTCAACAGCAAGTGTTAAGCTTCAGCATTCTCTGACGTGAAATTTAAGCAGTGAATCCCCTGGGCAACATACCAGGGGAGGTGGAACCAGGCAGAGTGAGAGGGAGGGAACCTACCACACTCTTGTAAAGTGAGCCCTTGCTCGGTGACTTGCTGGAAGGGCAGCAGACTCCCTGCCAGCTGCCAACTCTCAGGGGAAAATAAACACCTCATGGAGCACTGGTTCCAGTCAAGGACACTCTTAAGAGGGGAAGAGGTCAAGAAAAGGCTTTAGAAAGGGGTGTGTTTCCTCATGCTTTTGCGCCTATGTTCTGTGCAAATCTCTCTGAATATTTGATATGGCTATGAGCAACATGGATTAACAGATCATGTTCAAACTGCAGACATTTACAAAGTATCCTCTGTAAAAAGCTAGGTAGTAAGTATTAAAATAGGAGTCACAGGGCCAGGGACTTACTCTCAGGAAGAAAATTAATCAAAACTGACTTTGCATAAGATTGAGTATTGTCCCACTCCCCTCCTTAATCAGACTAAACCTGGAAGTGTTCCTCCCTTTAAAGGTAGATTACAGGAAAGAGATTGACAAGAGCTCCCAAATAACTGGGCCACAGAGTTTTCTGAGAAGATGAACACAGCAGAAAAACCGTAGCAGATGCCATGTGGTCTGGTTCCATCCCCATCAGTGTCTTCATGGACCCCATTGGGTCCAATAAGAAACTCCTCAGGGAGCAAGAAAAGTTAAACTCAGATCTCCTTCTTCCCATAGCCACAATGACACATGTGCCAGCAGTACACTTAGGGGATTTGTGACTGTTACTCAGCTTTTTGCTTTTTTTAAAGGAAACCAAAATTATGATATTTCCCCTCCAAATCACCCATCAGCATGGCTCATTGCCTGAAGGACTTGGCAAAACAGTTTGCCTCAGAACGGAAGGCAAATACTATAGTGTATCAGGAAGAAAAGGCCTCTGGGTATTACACCACTTCCTTCTGCCCACTCCTTGGGGGCAAAGAATTAGTTCTATTTACTACATTTGAAAGACTAATTTTTAAAAAATTAATAAAAATGACAATTTCCCTGTCAAGATCACATGAACATAAACAGTAAAGCAAAGTCCATGGGGAAGGTATATGGATGCCAAACAGGCTTCTAAGATGTAGTTAGCCTCTTTCTTGGTGGGGGTGGGTGATGTCTCTCAGAGGATAGGCTGTCTGGTCCCCCCATCCTAAGTACTCTTGCCCCAATTGTCTTTCCTTTGTAGCTGTCCTTAGGTTTAGTGTTGGGATCACAATTCAGAATTCAACAGAGAGCTTCTGAAGGTGATGGGACAGAGGGAGGGGAGAGGAAAGGAGAGATGAAAAATTAGTCTTCTTCATCCTCACTGATATCATAGGCTGCAGACTTGTGTCTGGAGAGGTTTGCTGGGGAGGAAGGCGGGGAAGTCTTGCCAGAGAAGGGCCACCGGAAAGAGGGAGAGGGGGAGCGTTCACGAGTGGGACTGCTGCTGGGACTCTGCCTTGGACTGATGGCCTGCAGCATCCGGCCTTTCCCCTCTTTCAGCATATGTTTCTGGGGAGACCAAAAGAAAGAGTTAGAAGAAACCTATGGATCCTACTAAAGCACCACTGGAGGATATGAGACTTCAAATTATCATGAGTGCCCTCTGTAATGTCAAAAGTGATCAAGTAAGCCAGAGGAGGAACATAGCTATAATCCTAAGCAATTTCCTCTCCAAAGTGCTCTATGCTATACTATGTATCTAAGGGTTCCCACCTGCTATCCACTGTCACCCAATCCTTGACCTCTACGTCAGAGGAATTCTTAAAAGGCTACTTGGGTCTGTAGTCTAGGCTGTAGGCAAAAACAAAGGAATTAACTCAGACAAAAGGGTACCTATCCTAGTTTTGGAGTTCTCTGAGGAGAAAATTCCATACACTCCCAGAATAATCTATTCTGGCATCCAAACACCCTCACAGTCAGATCGTTCCTGATATCCTAGGGCTCATCTGCTCATAGCTACACAGGCACCTTTTATTTGGCTCGAAAAGACCCTGCTACTCCTCAAGGACAGAATTCCCACCGTACCCAACGGTCCTGCAGCAGCTGTGTGTAGTGCAGGCAGCTTTCTTTTTACTGCTCTTTGCTCTTTCCTTCCCTTCCGCCTAAAACTATAATGTAGAAGCAAGCTGGGCAAGGCTACTCACTTATCTTGTCACCATATTTGGAGGTTGATAGAGAGCTGGCAAAATTATTTAGGAGAATGTGTAACCTCTTTCTGTAAAGATTTTTTAAAACTTTCTGGGGATAGTGGAAATATAGTTCTGCCAAACAAGGGGAACAGATTAGATAACTTCTTAATGTCAATGTCCCTTTCTGCTCAAGGATTCTATAATTCCTTCCACAGCATGAGAATTCCCTAGATTTTCATGAATTTCCCTAAATTATCCAGCAAGAAAGAACATACCAGCGCTCCTTCTGGACCAAACATTTCCAGGAAACTTCCAATGAATTCTCGGGATTTCTCCTCCCATTTCTGAATGAGGTCAATGCTTTTTTCTTCTACCTTCTGAACAAATTCTTTTGACTTTTCCTCCACATCTTTCACTTTCTTCTTTACTTTGTCAACTCGCTCCTGCAAGTGGTATTTCTTCTCCTGGATAAAGAAATAACTGCTCTGAGAAATAATACTCATTCTGACCTTCCATACTAAGGGGAAGGAAAAGACTTGGTTTGGCACTCTACTGACACTCCTTTCAGTCTTGAGAATTTCACTTTAATCTATCCCATACTTCTCCAGCATAATAACAGATAAGATATGCTCTGGATGGTCATCTTATACAAAAGTGTAATAATTCTAAGATTGTAGAGCCCAGGACTAAACTAAATGTATAGTGTAAGACCAGTAACAGACAGGCACATACCAAACGAAGTCAGATTTTTTTAAGATGAAACATAAACTTGGAAGATAAACATGACCAACAAAACCCAAACCCCATTCTATATGGAGATGTATAGGGAGAGAGCAACAAGATCACTGCACAATATTGCCAACAATAAGCCAACTGTAACAGGTTGAAAAAGGAAATAGTGGGCCTTTTACTTAAGTAATTCATCTACTGTACTGAATTTTTTTCCTCCATCAGTGGCTTATTCTATGATTATAGAGGAGTTGTTTTTTTTATTTTTTAATATTTGGAGGTCTGTTTGCTCATTCGCAAAATAAGGATGATACTCTTTGGTCCCACAGGCTTCCCTAAAGATGAGGGAAAATGGTATGAATCCTCCCAAAGGGAGGGGAGGGGAGGAGTCTTTAGCCAAATGAAAACTATTCTCATTTCCAGATCATAAAGGGGAAGGGGAAGGCGAATATGTTTAGGATTTTTAAACATCTAAAGATAGATTCTGCAGTATAACAACAGCTAGATTGTTAACAACAGCTAGGGTTTACCTGAATAGATAAATCATATTTAAATGAAACCATTTCACCTATTCATAATTCACAGAGCTGGGAGCAAGTGAGGGAGCATGGTAAACTACTTATGTAGAAGATACAGTTAGCAGCTTTCTTCTTTTTAAATCAACTTTATTGAGGTATAATTTATATACAAAATGTACAGCAGTTTGTTTATTAAGCTAAAATAAACTTGCTTTCATAAATCAAATTTTAAAAGTTAGGTTCATGTGCATTGAGAAATTGCATGCAAAATGTTGTGTGTTACTATGCACACAGGGAGAGGATCCACAGCTTTCATCAGATTTGCAAAGACCATCCAGTCAAAAAGAACAAAGGTTAAGAACCACTGTTTTAAACATATTTGATATAAGTACTGTACTTTGTAAGTTCCACGTTCTTATTTATTTAATTGGCTGTATGTCCTTATATCGACGTGTTGATACTAGCTCATAAAGGCAGAAAATGCCTCTAGATACATCCATATGCTCTTTGTAAAGAGCCTGGCATAGCGTTATGTGCAAAGAGGTATCCACTGAGCTTTTGGAGGTGATAATAACAGCAGACTGAAAAGCAAGTTTAACTTAGATGAAGTGAGAGGCAACATGTCCTATAGGGCCAGGGAACTCTAGGATGAGGTTGGAACTCACATTGATAAAGCTGACATTGAGTTCCTTTGCCGTGTAGCCCCTCTGTAGGTTCCGTCTGGCATACACATCATAGTCGCGGACAATTCGGGTGATGATGTCTGATGTGGAGATACCTTCTGTCCTCTGTGTTGGAGCAAACATGCCTAACACAAGAACACATACAAACACTGTGACATTCTGATTAGCTCAGGCAGTAGGACTAGATGGAAACTGGGAGCCACATTCCTTTTCCTTCCTCATAAAGCAGAGTCTGTTATTACTAAGTAAAGTCTGGAGATACTGACATACAGAAGGAATACTGAATCAAAAGTTAGGAGTAAGGAAAGGCCCTAATATTAAGAAAAATATGGGGCTGGAGAAGGGTTTCCTGAAATTAAGAGATATCAAAAGTAGATGTTTAGACTGAGAATTCATGGATATGATGCTATGCTCACCTTAACCTCTTAAGCAAAGTGTGACCTGAAACTGGATGTTAAAGTTCTCACTGTATAAATTTTCCTCTGTAAAGTAGTGATGTGGTTGAATCTCTTGTCACTGCCCCTAAGACTCCATAAAATGAGGATGCACATCAACTTACTCACCTGCTTCCTTGATGTGCTTATAAACATCATCACTCCCAGCAGAAGAGTAAGGGATGTCATCATGGGCTACAAAATCAATCTGAAAGTAAGGAAACACCATTTAAAACCCAGCGTAACTGCCATTCAGAAAGAACCAGTAAACACTCTCAGGACCAGAAAAAGGACAAGAGAGGCGAGGCCTCAAATGAACTTTTGTCTTTATCTCTCTTTGCTTTGCTCATAAATTCCATGATTCATTCACAAGCCACCCAACCTAATTATTCGTGGATCATAAACATGAAGCTAGCCAGTTTCTTTTTTAGCTATTCCTCCTGGTCTACTGGAAGTGCTACCCTCACACTGTATACCAGTCACCATGCTGTGGTAAATAGGCCTAGAGGATTTTCTGGTATGCTAGTTAGTGGGTGGAATCAAGGAAAGAAGAAAGGAAATCTCCCCACCCTCCTGGGTCTACAAGGATGGGTCAAATAGGGTTTCTAAAAATATAAGAAAGAGGTCACTTCTTTGTTAACTGGTTTCTCAGTCTATGAGATGAGTGGGAATATAAAAATAGCAACCAAGAGCACTTTTACTAGAATAGATACATCTGTACTCCTGAGAAATGCAAAGCCCAAGGCCATAAAAGACCTTTAAGTCTCAGATCTATTACTTTACTACTGTCAATACCTCTCACACTGGGATCAATAATCTTTCTAAACCTCACTCATTTACTCCTTCCTGAATAGGCCATATGCCCTTTGCTAATATAATTGCTAACACCACCACACCCAGTTCCCAGAAGCCACTGTAATGTGAAGTACGCTCATCAGGACTATGTCAGGGACTCTCAGCTAACATCTCAATTACCCATGAACAACTTGTCAGGGATCCATAGGCAGCAAATTGAAAATAAGAATGGTGAGCAAGCAAGACTCATGGTTGAATGTTCTTGGATGGGAAGAATCAACATTGTGAAAATGACTCTACTACCCAAAGCAATCTACAGATTCAATGCAATCCCTATCAAACTACCACTGGCATTTTTCACAGAACTAGAACAAAAAATTTCACAATTTGTATGGAAACACAAAAGACCCCGAATAGCCAAAGCAATCTTGAGAACGAAAAAAGGAGCTGGAGGAATCAGGCTCCCTGACTTCAGACTATACTACAAAGCTACAGTAATCAAGACAGTATGGTACTGGCACAAAAACAGAAAGATAGATCAATGGAACAGGATAGAAAGCCCAGAGATAAACCCACGCACATATGGACACCTTATCTTTGATAAAGGTGGCAGGAATGTACAGTGGAGAAAGGACAGCCTCTTCAATAAATGGTGCTGGGAAAACTGGACAGGTACATGTAAAAGTATGAGATTAGATCACTCCCTAACACCATACACAAAAATAAGCTCAAAATGGATTAAAGACCTAAATGTAAGGCCAGAAACGATCAAACTCTTAGAGGAAAACATAGGCAGAACACTCTATGACATAAATCACAGCAAGATCCTTTCTGACCCACCTCCTAGAGTAATGGAAATAAAAACAAAAATAAACAAATGGGACCTAATGAAACTTCAAAGCTTTTGCACAGCAAAGGAAACCATAATCAAGACCAAAAGACAACCCTCAGAATGGGAGAAAATATTTGCAAATGAAGCAACTGACAAAGGTTTAATCTCCAAAATTTACAAGCAGCTCATGCAGCTCAATAACAAAAAAACAAACAACCCAATCCAAAAATGGGCAGAAGACCTAAATAGACATTTCTCCAAAGAAGATATACAGAATGCCAACAAACACATGAAAGAATGCTCAACATCATTAATCATTAGAGAAATGCAAATCAAAACTACAATGAGATATCATCTCACACCAGTCAGAATGGCCATCATCAAAAAATCTAGAAACAATAAATGCTGGACAGGGTGTGGAGAAAAGGGAACACTCTTGCACTGCTGGTGGGAATGTGAATTGGTTCAGCCACTATGGAGAACAGTATGGAGGTTCCTTAAAAAACTACAAATAGAACTACCATATGACCCAGCAATCCCACTACTGGGCATATACCCTGAGAAAACCAAAATTCAAAAAGAGTCATGTACCAAAATGTTCATTGCAGCTCTATTTACAATAGCCCGGAGATGGAAACAACCTAAGCGCCCATCATCGGATGAATGGATAAAGAAAATGTGGCACATATATACAATGGAATATTACTCAGCCTTAAAAAGAAATGAAATTGAGCTATTTGTAATGAGATGGATAGACCTAGAGTCTGTCATACAGAGTGAAGTAAGTCAGAAAGAAAAAGACAAATACCGTATGCTAACACATATATATGGAATTTAAGGGGAAAAAAAATGTCATGAAGAACCTAGGGGTAAGACAGGAATAAAGACGCAGACCTACTGGAGAACGGACTTGAGGATATGGGGAGGGGGAGGGGTGAGCTTTGACAGGGCGAGAGAGAGTCATGGACATATACACACTAACAAACGTAGTAAGGTAGATAGCTAGGGGGAAGCAGCCGCAAGGCACAGGGATATTAGCTCGGTGCTTTGTGACAGCCTGGAGGGGTGGGATAGGGAGAGTGGGAGGGAGGGAGACGCAAGAGGGAAGACATATGGGAACATATGTATATGTATAACTGATTCACTTTGTTATAAAGCAGAAACTAACACACCATTGTAAAGCAATTATACCCCAATAAAGATGTTAAAAAAAAAAAAAAAAAAGACTCATGGTTGAGGATACACTGCTAACATGGAGAAAAGGGAATATGGAAGTTCCTCTAACCTCTTCTGCCTGGGCTTGCCTGGCTATGTTGCTGAGAATAATCTTGCTCATCACCCTTGGTACCACTGGCTGCTAAATGGTGAAGCAGTAAAGCTAGAGAACTATAAAAGTTCTGTCCTAATCCTAAACAGTTATAACAAATATCCCTTAGCTTCAGGCCTACCCAATACTGCTTTTGAAGCACTGTGGCTACTTTTGTTCTTTCCTGCCTCGTTGAACAATTCACCTTCAACATTCTCCACACCACTGTAAGATAACTGACAATATGCTTGCTGGTTCCTCAAGCTCAAGGGCCTCCAACATGACCTGATAAATTCTTCTCAGCTATCAGCTATAAACCCCTCTTTTGTAGGAAACGTGTTGCTTTAACATGGGAAAATAAAAAGGAGATAAGGGTTTTTTATAATACCAACTCACTGAGAAAAAGTGAGAAACCTCCCTGGTTTCTGATCCCACATAATTTCTAGCCTGAAATCAAAAGTCTTGAAACTAAATTTAAGTCAATACAAGAGAAGTCTATGTTTATATATCTTATTTCCTGGAATGTGAACTCCTTGAGAGCATGTTTGGGGCTGTGTATACTCTAAAAAGACCGGTATGCTGTGAGGATGGATACGCTTATAATGGGGGGGGGGGGAGGTGCGACAGACTCACATAACTGAAGAGTTCAATTTCTTTTTTTTTATAAGATTTTTTTTAATCATTTATTTTTGGCTGCGTCTTCGTTGCTGCGTGCAGGCTTTCTCTAGTTGTGGCGAGTGGGGACTACTCTTCGTTGCGGTGCGCAGGCTTCTCATTGCGGTGGCTCTGCAGTTGCAGAGCACGGGCTCTAGTCGCGCAGGCTTCAGTAGTTATGGTGTGCAGGCTCAGTAGTTGTGGCGCACAGGTCCAGCTGCTCCGCAGCATGTGGGACCTTCCCGGACCAGGACCCGAACCCATGTCCCCTGCATTGGCAGGCGGATTCCCAACCACTGCGCCACCAGGGAAGCCCTGAAGAGTTCAATTTCTAGCCCTGCTAGAGTGTGACCTGGTTATTTGGCCTCTCTGGCCCTGTTCTCATATGTAAAGTGGAAATAACTAATAACTACCCAATAGGATTTTTGTGGGGAACAAATGAAATATAACGGATGCAAAAGTGCTTGTAAACCATCAAACCCAAGAAAAATGTCATGTCAGGGATGACTATTATTAGAAGTGATAACACTGTTACCTCTTCTATGTGAAATTTACATAGAAGACAGAAGTAAAATAAGGCTAGTGGAAAACTAGCCACAGTACCAGAAGTCTTGAAAGTTGAAGAAATTCCAGAACAGGGAATGGAAACATGTGTTCAGTTTCTTACCCGGTGTTCTGCCAGGAACTCTGGTGTCAGGGTCCAGGGGGCATTCCTCACCACCTCATCCACATAGCGGCAGTGCTGCACTGCATCATAGCGCTCATTTTCATTCATCACGGTGAAGCCTTTGAAGTTGTGTGTTAGCTCATCACTGCAAACTGAGTTCACCACAACATAAGGTTGTAAGTCAAAGTCCCCTCTGCTTAACCACTCCTCAATCATCAACCTCTCATTTCCCAACCTCTCATAACCAATATCCCCAGCCTGGATAAGAGTCTTCTGGATTTGGCTCAGTCTGGATAACAATGCTTTTCCTAATCCAAGATACACCTTCAGGAGCAACATTCACTAAATATGTTCACACTTTGGAGAGGAGAGGATACAATGGAGGACTAAGATCTTTGGCTTTGAAATGAAACTACTGTGCATCTCTGTATCAATTAACAGTTTTAAAAAATGTTTTCCTATTATACTTTTATTAGACTGGACTGGACAACATAACATTAGCTTAGCAGACTTTTGTACTTCAGTTGACTCAGAATGATAAACTGAAATCTAAAGCAAATACTCTTCTTAAGTAGCATTTATTCTTAATGCTATTCTGACCACCCCCGCCTGCACTGGGGGTCAGACTGCAGAAACCCGGCCAAAACCAGCGAGATAAATCCTGGACGTCTCAAGTCAATGAGCTTAGAGCTTTTCTCTCCAGGTTTATACAGTTCAGGTTTTATATACTTCATGTTCTTCATATATTTCACATTTTAAAGAGGCTGCACTATATCTCTCATTTGAAAACCAACATAAGAGGCAATGTACTTGGGTTATAAAGATAGGAGAAAAGAGGCTACCATAATTTTTTTCTGGACAGCACCTAAAGTCATCAGATGTTTTCTTACCTCCCACAATGAGATATGTATTAGGGAAAAGGTTCTTTGCTTGCATCAGGGCCCGGGCATGACCAGAATGAAATAAGTCAAATATTCCATCTGCATAAACTCTCACAGGCCGTTCACCTAAATCCAAAGGAAAGAATTTATCACAGGAATACACTGATTCAATACCTCATATTTAACAAATGGAAATGGCACTGTGTGACTGTTCCACCCCTGCAGAGCCCCCTTTTAAGGTGTTCTCTGGATATTCACCTTTATTTGGGGTACTTTGGGGTTCTGAGGAATAACATCACAGGCTTCCTTGACTACAAAAACACTCTTGGCATCATATCCACTAACTCTCTCTGTTAGCCTGGTTGTACCAAACTGCTCAGGTAATTGGATTTCATGATTGCTTTTTCTTAAAGTTATTTTAGAAGTGAAGGGAAGAGTTATACAAGAGCTATATCTGAAACTTCAAAATCCTCGCCTTCGGCTTATGTTTAAACTGCAGTTATGTTTAAACAGAGTATAATTAAACTATGCTCTGGCTGCCTGCTCTCTGTTTTTCAAGCTGCCTTGATTACTAGTAACTAATGCTTTGCTTTGAAAATAAAATACTTTGCTTTGAAGGTAAAGAGTGATGCAGAGGGGTGAGACTGCTTCACAGTCCCAGATTCACCCTTAATAACTGCTCTGTGATAACAGATGGAGTTCCTTCAAGCATTTCTCCTTGATAGTGAGCGTGTTACACTTTCTCAGTAGAGGGTGATATACCAGGTATTTGAAAATCAAATATAAATATTTTAGGACTTTATATTAGAGCCTTTCCTCTTCCCCTGTCCATTAGTGAGAATAACAGAGAACTGATTGTCAATTTATTTTTAGTGGTAGTGGACTATGAAAGAAAAGGAGGAAATGATTTCTTGGGGTACAAGCCTAATTCCAAAGCCAAATAAACACACTGAGAATGGAATTGATATAATGGTTCAGCATGCTTCAAATGATAAACCTAATGAGTCCTAGTAACATATTTCCACTACTTGAATAAAGGAAGAGCTGTTTCACTGCAGCAGCAGAAAATAATAGTAGGAGCATCTACATCATTCTTCGAAAGAAGGGCCAGAGCCTCATCAAATACACCATACTGAAGGTAAGGATAAGATACATCTCCTTCCTGCCTTGAGGACGGTGAATCAAGGGGGAGGAAACTGGTTCTCAGGAGGTTTATGGACTTTTCTTTATAGATAGCTTTATCCATACAAAAGTCGCTTTTAAACTGAGAAATTATACACTGCTGATAGAAGTATAAATTGGTACAACTCTTAAGGAAGGCAATTAGGCAATATCTGTGAAAAGACAAATGACAAATGTTTACACCCTTTGGCCCAGTTATTCCAATTCTAGGAATTTACCTCACAGATACGTTTGTAAATATGTATGCAGATTGCATTATTGATTGCAGCACTGTTGGTAATAGCAAAAGTTTGGAAACAACCTGAATTTCAGTGGAAGACTGAATATGACATGATCCACCCACTAAAAGTGTGGGAAGATTTATATATTATTTGCTTAGATATCCACAAGAAATTGGTAATACTGGGCTTCCCTGGTGGCACAGTGGTTAGGAATCTGCCTGCCAATGCAGGGGACATGGGTTCGAGCCCTGGTCAGGGAGGATCCCACATACCGTGGAGCAACTAGGTCTGTGCGCCACAACTACTGAGCCTGCAATCTAGAGCCCGCGAGCCACAACTACTGAAGCCCGCGCATCTAGAGCCCATGATCCGCAACAAGAGAAGTCACCACACTGAGAAGCCTGTGCACCGCAATGAAGAGTAGCCCTCGCTCGCCGCAACTAGAGAAAGCCTGCACACAGCAACAAAGACCCATTGCAGGCAAAAATAAATTAAATAAATAAGAAATTGGTAATTCTGGTTACCTGTAAAAGGGATAGAAGGTGTCTTTTCGTTTTTTTTTTTTTTTTTTTTTTTCACTCTGTGTCTTTTTTGTACTTTATGAATGTTAAGTCACGGGAATGTACTAATTTTATAATACAGGAAATAAAAATTTTAAATAAAATAAATACACTAATACAATGAAAAACTGAGAAATAATATGACAGATTTAAAGAGTCAGAAAAATTATAGCCCAAGCTTGCCAACCAGCCTCACTCCTTTGTTAATCTCAATCTCTTTAAGCCTCAGTTTCCTCATCTATAAAACAAAGCAAAACAAAACAAAACCTGAGTAATATAATCTCTCTTCTACATCCTAGAAATCATGACCATGAAGTAACTAATATACTTCTATCTTTCCTAAACAAGTCCAGAGTGGCTATGATCTCACTTTATTTGATCCTAAAAGACAAACGATAGAATATAAAATTTGAGAATACTGTACTGTTGTTTCTACACCAAGGGCAAAGTGAGATGAGGGAGATTTAGCCAGTAAACACATTTCCTGGATAGTGGCAATAGCACAGACACTGTTGATTAAGTGGCTATTTGCCAGCAGTTAAACATCCCATATTAGGCCAAGCCACCTCTGAACCCTTTCTTGGAGCAATCCCTGATGTGTCTCTTGCCCTCTTAGCATTTCCCCAGCTTCCCAACCTCTCAATTCCCCATGACTTAACCGCAAGTCTTTGGCAAACCCAGGCCTGTATATTAACCAAATGACCAGAAGGGGCCACTGTTGAACTAAAAATCTGGGGAGAAAGCATGCGTTATCCATTCTTTTACCAAGTGGCTATTGGTCAGGATGACTATACCCTCTGATTTATATCTGTTGTTCCACTACACTATCAAGAGCAACTGCTTTCATTCTCAAAAATAGTCTTGATTTGGGTTACAAATTATAGTCTTTTCACTACTGCTAGACTAAGTAACTAGATGTTCTCCTTTAAGCAGAAGAGACCTGGGTTTCAATTTATTATCTCTTTTGATATATTCTCTCAAATAGCTACCACTGAAACATTCATCTTTAACAGATTTCCACTGCCCTTCAGACTTTGCCTTTTTCTTCCTTTCTCCAAGAGAACATACTGCTGGGTTTTTTTCCATCTTCTAAAAAAGATGATCTTCTCATCTCTCAAGCCGTATTCCTTTTATCTCTAAGTACTGAGTTTACTCCAAGATTACACAAACTTCCCTCTTGTACTCCCTTAACCTCCCTAAGTGAAAACCTGGGGGCAGGGGGAGGGATGCCCCTTGAACCAGTTATTGGTTTAAAATTCACTAACTATATGGCATGTGTAGACTCTTTATTTGTTTATTCCTTGTCTGGCACTGGCATGAAGACAGTCACTTACTTGATTATTTAACATAAAACTGAACAGACAGAATAAGATAAAGGAAAAACCAGAGGTCAAGTTAGACTGGCAAATTTTACAGGCCAATTTGTGACTATCTGTTCCACCCAAACTTCAATCAGCTTGCTGATAAGCCTTCTATTATTTATAACTAATGTCTATATAAAGAATAGCACCACTCCAGGATGAAAAGAACACAAAGATGGAAAAACTTAGGTTTTTAGCTTCAATTCTATCACTAATTATTTGTTTTACTGTTTCACTTCTTAGTTTCTATGGACCTATATTCATGTATATAATGAAGAGAGTATAAAGTATATAATCTCATAAATGACTTACTTATAAAATTCTACTATTCTAAAATTTAGAAAGTAATTTATTAATGTTTGTGAATTATAAGTTGCAAAACTTGGAAACAGTATACATATACATACATACATTTTTCCTATCACAAATGGTATGTGGCTAGATTAGCAACAAGGGGGCTAATATAACTAATGTGATGAGATCTGAGTGAGGTACTGCATTCTGAATGTGTGTCATTAGAGAGTATATGAAAAGTTCTTGCCCTCAACAGGCTCTACTATCACATCTGAATGTGATCCTTGAACTGTCTAGTGGCATTCTGAAGTCTGACCTGCCACCACTACACTGTTACATACAGCCTGTCTTTCCTTGTTGTCATTTTACTCTGCCCCATTAGCCTGCCTATTACTGAAGTAAGAGGAGCTAAACCCAAAAAATCACATCATAAACCAGAAGGGTTGTGATCAACATAAGCTATATCTAAACACTTTTGCAAAAGGAAAGCATTCTCTGAAATTTTGAGGACCCCAAAACCATACTCCATACAGCCAAGATATAACCAAGGGGTATTGGGACCCCTAGCCTAACACTGTCCAGCATTCATTTCTATTCATATTTCAGTACTCCTAAGTTACAACAGAGAGAAAACATACTAACACAATTAAGAAGTAACTACAAATATCTTCTATATACTGAAAATGTATAGATTTGTGGCTATAACTGCCTCTTATTCCCTAGTGCTTGCCTGGGTTGAGTCCAGCCCTACATTTACAGAGTAAACACTTACCACAGTAATCAAAAGAAATGAAAAAGGATTGGGAAAAAAAGGAGAAATGGAGAATTTACAGAGAAGTAAGAACAGATGCCTATAGGACTTTGTAATCATAACAAATGCTTGTGGAAGTTTCTATTTATGATAATCCCTAAAACCAACTGCCCAAAACTATCTGGAATACATATTAATAATTTATGAGGCCAGAAATTGCTACTTAATAATGTAAACTAAGTATACAAATAAAGAGTATGGGCTTTGAAAATAATAAAGCAAGTCTTTTTTAAAAAAACCTGGGGGCTTCCCTGGTGGCACAGTGGTTAAGAATCCGCCTGCCAATGCAGGGGACATGGGTTCGAGCCCTGGTCTGGGAAGATCCCACATGCCGCGGAGCAACTAAGCCCGTGTGCCACAACTACTGAGCCTGCGCTCTAGAGCCCACGAGCCACAACTACTGAGCCCGTTCACCTAGAGCAGTGCTCTGCAACAAGAGAAGCCACCGCAATGAGAAGCCCACTCAACACAACGAAGAGCAGCCCCCACTCGCCGCAGCTAGAGAAAGCCCGCACTCAGCAACAAAGACCCTATGCAGCCAAATAAATTAATTAATTAATTTAAAAAATTAAAATTAAAAAAATTTAAAAACCTGGAAAACTATAATATCAATAAAGATAAAATTAAGTGATAAGCATCTCCCAACTTAGGACAGCTTTGTCCTCTATCAGTCAGCAGCATCAGACTAGTGTACTGACTGACAGAAAGGAAAACTTAGTGGGAAATTCTGAAGGCTATTAAAAATGTGACAGCCTGACATATTATTTGGACCTTTATAAAAACAGACAAGATTATAAACCCGCTCAGGCTAATATCTTATTGTCTCTGCTCCTCTATATCTCACCTCACAGCTGTGATGATAACAGCCCCCCCAAAAAGTGTGTACCACTGTATCTCATAGCTGTGACAAAATACTGGGAAATTAGTATACAATGTAAATGAAATTTTATGGAGTACAGTTATCCTCCCAAATAGAACAGCAAGTGAGATGGGAGAAACCCCTCTCTCAAGTAGCTTTTACAGGTAAACTGAGGGAAGAATATAGTGAGTAGGTATACATTTGATAAGTACAATTGAATGCTAAAAACAATAGTGAAACAACAAAATAATTCGTCATTTACTTACAAGGAGTTCCTCTGCTGGCTTCTTCCATGGTTACCCTGACATAGGGCTTACTAAAGTCTACTTCAATTTCATCAGAAAAAGGCGCTGGCTGTCGTAAGCCCTTAAGAAGAGGAAAGTGAAGGAAAAGAAAAATTCAATGGTATAAACTAAAATACTCAAAAAATGGCAGCTTTAAAGAATAATCAGTTATTCAACATGCTGTGATTAAAATTTTTCCTAAAAGTTCATAACCTTAAAAAGAAAAAAGATAAAAGCATTCCAAAATGACAAGTGAAAGTTGCAACCTTTTACCAAATGGGCAAATCATGGCATGAAAGATAAATGTCTTGATGGTGATTTCAGAATAGGACTGAGGAAGGTGGCTGAGAACCTAAGCACAGTCCCAACTAACTGGGTCCAGAATGACAGCTCCTCTGCCAGACGGCAGAACAGCCAACCCTGATCTATGTGATGAAATTGCCAAGGTTCACAAGTGCCTTTTCATACCACTTCAACTATGGGACTGGGAAGGCAAACAGCTGCCAGGTGCTTTAAGTACGATCATCACTGTATAATGCTTTACACTGTAAATATGTTCTAATTCTCATTAACAGCCCTGTGAGGCAAGTAGTACAATAGTTAGTATCCTCAATTTAAAGATGAGGAAAATGAGCTTCAGAGAAGTTATATGAATTGCATGCAATTACTCAGAGGCAATGCTGAAATAAAAATGTAGGTATGCTCTTTCCTCCTTAGAGGAAAGCCTTACTTAAGAGCTTTTGTTAAATCTATTCCTAAGTATTTTATTCTATTTGATGCTTTTGTAACTGTTTACTTAATTTTATTTTTGGATTGGTCCTTGCCAGTATATAGAAATGCAATTGATTTGTATGTGTGTATGTGTATCAGTGTGAGTAATTTCAGTTGACTCATCTCCTGTGGATTTGTTAAACTCAATTATCAGTTCTAGCAGTTTGTTTGGCAGATTCCTTAGGACTGTCTACATATGAGATCATGTTGCCTGTGAATAAAGACAGTTTACTCCTTTCCAATCTGGATGGCTTTAACTTCCTTTTATTACCCATTATTGCACTAGTAAACCTCTAGTACAATGCTGAATAGAGGCGGCAAAGACAAATATCCTTGCCTTGTTCCCAGTCTTAGGGGAGAAGCATGCAATCTTTCAACACTAAATATTATCTTAGCTGTAGGTTTTTCTTAGATGCCCTTTATCAGGTTGAGAAATCTCTCTTCATTTTGTAGTTCATTGAGAGTTGTTTTTTTTTTTTTGGCTGTGCCATGAGGCTTATGAGATCTTAGTTTCCCGACCAGGGATCGAACCCAGGCCACGGCAGTGAAAGTGCCTGGGTTCGATCCCTGGTCGGGGAACTAAGGACCGCCAGGGAATTCCCTGTTGAGTTTTTTAATGAACGAACATTGGATTTTGTCACATGCTTTTTCTACATTTTTGAAACAATCATATTTTGGTTTTGTCTTTTATTTTATTAATTATGGTGTATTAGATTAATTGATTTTAGAATGTTAAGCCAACCTTGCATTCCTGAGTGAAATTCTTCTTGGACACATTGTATAAATCTTTTTATATGTTCTTGGATTCAATTTGTTAATATATTGTTAAGGACTTTTGCATCTAAGTTTGTGAGGGATTTTGAACTATAATGTTCTTTTCTTGTGCTGTTTTTGCCTGTCTTTGCTATCTGGCCTCATAAAATTGGTTAGGAAATGTTCTCTCCTCTATTCTCTGAAAGTGGATAGGATTGATATTACTTCTTCCTTAAATGTCTGATAGAATTCACCAGTGAAGTCATTTGTGTCTGACTTTGTCTTTGTAGGAAGATTTTTTCAAAGACAATTCAATACTTTACTTGGCATAGGTCTATTCAGATTTTCTATCTTTTTCTTGGATCAGTTTTGGTAATTTGTCTCTTTCTAGGAATATGTCTATTTCATCTAAATTGTCACATTTTTTTTGGCATGAAATTGTTCATAACATTCCCTTACAATTCTTTTAATTTCTGTTGGGCTATAGTGATGTATATTTAGATTTTTAAATTACACATAGATCACATTGTGACTGGGCTAAATTCAGAAACTGGGAAGACATTGTTTTGTTTTGATTTCAGATAAGGATAGACTTTTAAAATAAGGCTTTAAAATTAAAATATATTTCTTTTAAAGAGCACTTATATAAGCTTATTTTAAAATATGCTAAAGCTATAAGAAAAACATTTTTAGGAAATGTGTGTGTGTTATCCTTTTTTAGAACGTTTTTTTAAAAAAGGTTAAGAATAGACCAAGGACACAAATGTGTGATTTTCTGAAGTTATTAGAAATTTACCTACAGATAAAATTAGAAAAAAACAATTTATCCTCTAGAAGTTAGTACGCAAAGAGTTGCCTAACAGTAATTTGTGTTTCTAAAAGTATATGCTAGTCACAAAATAATAGACATTCTACGATTCTATCTATACGAAGGTCAAAAACAGGCAAAGCTAATCTATGGTTAATAGAAGTCAGAGAACAAAGATAACAAATCTGGGGAAAGAGGATACTGACTAGCAGGAGCGTGAGGGAGTCTTCTAGGTGTACCAGTGATTACATGGATGTATACATATATAAACATTTATTGAGCTGTACACTTAAGGTTTGTGCACTCTACTGTATGTAAGTTATACCTCAAGAAACAAATGCCATTCAGCCATAAAAAAGAATGCAGTACTGATACCTGCTACAACATGGATGAACCTTGAAAAAATTATGCTAAGTGAAAGAAGCCAGCCACAAAAGGCCACTTATTGTATGACTCCATTTATATGCAATGTCCAAGAATAGGAAAATTTACAGACAGAAAGTAGATTAGTGGTTACACTGGGATGGAAGGGTTGGGGAGAGATGGAGAGTGACTGCTGATGGGTACAGGGTTTCTCTCTGGAGTGATGAAAATGCTCTAAAATGTATCATGATGATGGTTGCACAAGTCTGTGAATATTCTGAAAACCACTGAATTGAACACTCTACGTGTGTAGGTGAATTACAATGGTATATGAACTATATCTCAATGAAGTTGTTTATATATAAATATATTTATACATAATATAAAATATATGAAACAAAGAGAAAAAATTGTGCTTATAGTACATGTAGATAAAAGACAGCCTTACTGTGTTCTCTGAAATTTATTATTAATGGTGTGCTGGAGTCAGTTTTTAAATATTTACATATTTTGAAGGCTGGTAGTTTGAAATCAGCCACAGAAATCAGTAAATGCTATATATCAGAGGTTTGTTCCCCCCGGTTTATCAGGACACCACTGGTTATTCTGCATACTTAGAAAGAGATCAGTTCAGAGGTTATTACAGGGAGGAAGAAATGGATTTGTGGATTTTTCCGTTACTATTGAATAGAGAGAGTGACAGTTAAAAGATTCTGTGAAGGAAGAATAGGTAGGACATGGTAAAGAGAAAATATACTGTCACTTGAGAGAGGAGTTTATAATAACTGAGCTTTTGAACTGAAGAAAATAAGACTGTGGTACCATCAGCAGGAATCGAGAAGTTTTTTAAAAAGGAGTGGAGATCAAAGAAAATGAGAACTGACAGTCTTTGAATCTGGAGATTCAAATGACCATTGGAGACCTCCTAGAATATATTAGTGAAAGTCAGAACACCAGTGCCTTTAAGAAAATAGGAAGACAAGGAACCAGATTAGTAATAATCTCTCATTAGAGATGTATAGCCATAAAGGGAATGAGAAAAACAGAAAGGTACCTAGAGGGGACAGAAGGATCAAGTAGCAGGTTTTCTTAAAAGTTGAGGATATCTGTACATGTCTAAGACAAAGGAAAAGGAGCCGAAGAGATTGAAAATATCAAGAGAAGGAAAAAAACAGATAATTAAGGAAGGAAGAGTCTAGAAGAATGACAGGGAATGGCCTCAAAGGAGAGCAGGGGGGAAGCTGTTGGTCCTATAAGTAATTAGGATCACATTTTTCTGAAAGCAGAAGAAAGGAAAGGTGATAAAAGGATAATACTGGATGTAAAGGAGGAAGGATGTATATAAACTTACATTCTGATGCCATCAATTTTCTCAGTAGAGCAAAGGAGAAAGTGAAGTTCCCTATAAAGAAGAGGGACTTTGGAATGAGACTGAAAACTTGAGGAAAGTACAAAATATTTAGAATAGCTGTTGTGGGAAATGTATATATTTGAGCATCAGCAAATGATTAATGGAACTCCTGAGCACTATATTCAGCCCAGATCAAGCTAGAAACTTTAATCTTTAGAAGGCCAAGTTAACAGGTCCAGGAAGAAAAACAAAGAATTAACAGAAATTGAAAGATCTAGGGTTAGGTCCTGGTGAATGGAAGGGAGGCAGAAGAGGGAAGAGAAGAGTTAAGGAAAAAGAGGTATCCAGGCATTTCTCCAAAAAAGATATACTAATGGCCAAAAAACACATGAAAAGGTGCTCAACAATATTAGGCATTATGGAAATGCAAATCAAAACCACAATGAGACCCTGCTTCACATCCACTAGGATGGCTAAAAGCAAAAAGACAGGCAACAGTGATGGCAAGGATGTGGAGAAATTGGAACCTCTGTACACTGCTGTGAATGTAAACTAGCACACAGCTTTGGAAAACAGCTCTTCAAAATGTTAAACAATGGATATATATGACCTAGAAATTACACTCCTAGGTATATAAGCAAGAGAACTGAAAACATATATTTAAAAAAAACCTTGTACATGAATAATAGAACATTATTCACAATAGCCAAAAAGCAGAAATAATCCAAACGTCCAACAACTGATGAATGGATAAACAAAGTAGTATGTCTATATGGATTCACCTATAAAAAGGAATGAAGTATTACTAAACACTACCACCTGGGTGGACCTTGAAAACATTATGCTAAATAAAAGAAGCCAGAGACTTCCATGGTGGTCCAGTGGGTAAGACTCTGCGCTCCCAATGCAGGGGGCCCGGGTTCGATCCCTGTTCAGGAAACTATATCCTACATGCATGCCGCACCTAACAGCCCACACAGCGCACCTAAGAGCCAGCAACTAAAACATCCCGCGTTGTGCAACTAAAAGATCCTAC